ATATATATATATATATATATTTTTAGAAAAAGGGCAATTTTGGTGCAGTTAGATACATTTTCAAACGAAAAATGTTATTTTATAAAAACTCCAAATCTCATCCAATTTAATACAATTAATTTTTTTAAAATTAATCATAATTAACAAAAAAATCACTCAAAACCAAAATATCCAATCACAAACTTATATCTAAGCTATAAGAATTATTAAATCATGTTACGTTCACATAATGATGTCATAGTTTGATATTTTTATCTTCAGATGAACTTTAAAATCTATATTATTTATGTCACTGTGTCAAAAAATTATATCTGAGTAGCATAATTAATTCTTGACTTAAAGACATTTCATAAATATCCAATTTACCCTTATCCAACTACCTGAAGCGCCAAATCTTCTCTCTACTATAAGCCAACGATAATGTTTCCCCTATAGCTATAGGTAATCTCGATAACTCACACACACCGCACAATGGCCGCCGTCGTTGTCAGATTTCCGCCTCCGCAGGCGGCGTCGTGCTCCCCCGAGCTCAGAAATACTCGTTACCATGGTATGGTTGCCCGTAGTTCAGTTGCAGAAAAATCCACGGCCACCGCTTCCTTTTATTGCAAATTAAACGAGGTGAATGTTTGGAGAAATATTCTTTTTGCGTGTTTGATACAAAATTATAGATCTTATGAAAGAGTTGTATTTTTTCTGAGTCTTGAATGGTTAGGGTTTTGCTTGTGGATTGATGTGTCTGTCCTGATGCCTGGTCTGACAATATTGAACAAATTGACGAGTCAAATAAATGCCAAGAGCTTTAGGGCAATAGTTTGGAGCATTGTAAGTTGTGGAGTTTTTCTGAAACGTGCTCTTTATAAGAACCGATTTACTGTAGTGGATGCAGGTGAGTGGGAAAGCTTCAACTTTGCAGTGTGATTTTAAAATACAACCTAGTTCATATCTGTTTGAAAAGATTGGGTCATGAGAAGAATAAAATTTAAAAGGACCCTTTCAGAGTTTTTAAGATTCCTGCTAAAATGAAGTAGAAGAAATACGATCAGTTGACATCTGCAGAAAAAAAATGACCTTCAATTTTGTTTTTCAGTTGATGACACAGACTTCCATAGTCTAACCATGTCTTAGTTCGATTTCAGAAATGCACGGTAACTGATGTTTGAGTCGGTAGATGGCCCTTACTAGATTTAATTCGATTCATTTGAATGGCTAAATCAACTGGTCAAGTAAAGTAATGAATCCATTTCTGTTGCGTAATTCTAAGCCTGATAATAATTTAAATATATATAAATCAGCAAATATTCTTGAATCTCAAGTTTGTGATACTCCCTGAACTTGTTACCATTTCTTTTGTCAACTCATTAACGATTCTAATATATACATAACCAGAGTAAAGATTTTGCAGTTCCAAGAAGAAAAGCAACTGCATTGCTTTTATCGGGTTTCATCTTCTCACAAGCCGACTTGCACAATATAGCATTCGCGCAATCAGTTGGATTTAGAGAATATATCGACACTTTTGACGGGTACTCATTGAAGTACCCTCAGAACTGGATTCAAGTCCGTGGTGCGGGTGCTGATGTATTCTTCAGGGACCCTTTTGTTCTGGACGAGAATGTCTCGGTGGACATTTCTTCACCGTCATCCTCCAACTACTCAAGTGTCGAAGATTTAGGTTCGCCTGAAGAGGCCGGGAAGAAAGTGCTTAGGCAGTATTTGACTGAGTTTATGTCCACAAGACTTGGTGTCAGGCGAGAATCGAGAATTCTGTCGACCTCCTCGAGAGTAGCTGATGATGGAAAGCTGTATTACGAAGTTGAGGTGAGAATAATTTTGCTTGTTTTTGCTTAGTACTTGTTTTCTTGCACAAAAATCATTAGAGATAATACACTCATTGTACGCCAACAATAGGTAAACATAAAGTCGTACGCCAACAACAATGAATTAGCTGTGATGCCTGAGGATCGTGTGGTGCGTTTAGAATGGAACCGGCGTTATCTTTCGGTTCTTGGAGTTGAGAACAACAGACTATATGAATTGAGGTTACAGACACCAGAAAATTCATTTGAAGAAGAGAAAGCTGATCTTCGTGAGGTTATGGATTCATTTAGGGTCAACAAGGTGTCTGCTTGAGTGTCTCTTTCAAAAGTTTTTTTTTTTTTTTTTTTTTTTTTTNCCCCACTTACCAATATTGTAAGAGGGAAGAGGGTCTGAGTGGTGATGTTCCTATATTGAATATGTTGAACTATTTCTTGTGGAAAAATTTACTATGGTATTTTAACTAATAAGATAAGGTGTTTGTTACCATTCATTGTGCAATTTGATGACAAATTCTTATATTAAGCTAACGTGGGTCAACCTATCATATTTTTTGAAAACACATACTGTATTATGAAATATCATACTTTGTTTTATATTGTTTTGTTTTTAGAGCGATAATTCAATTTGAAAATATATATCTTTTGAAAAGTATAATTATCTACCTGTTACTGTTGGCATACTAGAAGCCTTATTTGGCATATACGCATACCAAATAGTTTGGTTATCGCAGTTATAGATTACTAGTTTTTGTCCCGTGCATTTGCACGGAAAACTATATAATACATGAAAAATAATAAAAATTATAAACAATAGTAAAAATTATAACAAAATCATTGAAAAAAATTAAGAAAAAAATATAAATATTCTTAAACACTTCTTTATAAAATAACGTCGTGATTTTTCTATCGTCAAAATCTCTCTCAGCTCAAATCAAAATCTTCAAACCCCACTGACTCGTAACTCTAAAAAGCGTCACGTATAATTGCTCATGACTAAATGCTGAGCTCTTCAGTAGTAAGCCGACGTGCGACAGAGACTATCTTTGACTCTTATTGACCATGTCATAGCATAGGAAACACTTCTTTATATTGTTTGTCATTGACTCTTATTGATTGATAGAGATTGTCCTTGCTTCTTAATAAAAAAATACCATCTAATATAAATGAGTAAATATAATATTAATTTTTTATATAAACAAAAAATTTAAAGATCTATAATAGATCTGTAAATATATGTATTTTTTTGAGTTTTTTTTTTTAAAAAAAAACTCGTATCATGAGCTTTCCATTAGGGTTAGCTTCCAATGGACTGGAACCGCCCGCATCGTGATTTTAAGAGGCCGATTAAGGCCCTTTTGTTATATTTAATCACAGTCAGAATTTTTTTTACGTATGTTTAATTTTTTTTTCGTGGATTCAAGTTATTTCAACGATGTTCTTTTTATATATCTAAGATTTTTTTTTCCTGATTTATATGAATATAAGCACATTTAACTAATTTTTATAAAATTTATTGAAAAAAGTTACTATTTTTTTTTTAAAAACTGATAAGATATTACGATAATACTGTATTTAACATAAATGTGAGATTAATTAAAATAAATCTTTTTAATTTAGTCATTAACTAATTAAATTTAACTATAAGAAACCTTCTTAAATGTGAGATTAATGAGTAATTAATTAAAAAAATATAACTCTTTTTGGAGGGAAAGTGAAAATATTTTTATTAAATGTTTTATTAAATGCTATTAGCTAGCAATTATATATATATAGATTAGAGAAAATTATATGTTACAACTTTAAAAGTGAAAATCAAGACGATGAGTAGCAAATCACTCCATCCCTTTCAAATGTCTATGATTCAAAATTACATTTACTTCTTGTCTACAGTTACAGAAGAGCTGGAAAGCACAAATTCAAATGCATCGAAACGTATTGTTCAAATGCACAACATCAACAAGACAAACCACCAATCTCGAAACAAAATAGTTATGTCCTCAATGCATATTCGCCTTTTTTAACACTAAAGCTCATGATCTCACTTGAAATTCACCGGCTCTGGTGAGAGCTCGAAAGCCTTTATATGAACGCGTGGGCAAATTCAGTATATCCAATTTTTCGATTTTTAAGCCGGATAGGGCCACACCCATAATTCTAAAACCCACTATAAAAGTGGGAAATACATCAAGTTTCTCCATGCCACTCTCAAGCACCAAGGTTCCAGACATTGAAGGAGCTTTATCTTTTGGGATTTTCCCAATCGTCCACAAACATGTCTGCCAAATATCATCAGCTAAAATCCATCATAAAGAGCATAAAGAGCAAAGAAGTATAGATTAGAATATGCACAAGAGTGAGTGCCTTCATGAATTTTTAGTACCCAAATAATTTCACATAAAGCATTATCCAGTCTTCCTGGAAAATATTAACGCAAGACTCGAGTCGAACTAAATGTTTGCTTACAAGTCCATACCTTATCAGCAAGAACATTTACTGATCCACAATTAGAAGAAAGATCAGACGACACGACACAAGGTGGTAATTGGAATTGAACTGTTATAGTGTCAATTGACTTTCCAGGATCATTTCGTATTCCCAACAATACGCTTATACGGCAAATCCCTGAGTCGGATGTCAGTTGCGGCTTCACATAAATTGGAATATTCTTCAGCTTTTTTACTCTGACAAAACAAAGGCAAGAGTTAATAAGAAACAATATAAATATTCTTTTCTGCCCTGAAAAATAGCATACCTGTAACTCATGAGCTTAAATTGCCCATCAGGCGGCACAAAAGATAAGATCTGATTTGACTCCCAAGGCCGGAGTCGAACACAAGGGTGAAACCTCACATCATTAAGAACTGAAGGGTTGGCGAACGAGAGTGTGAGATCGGGTAGACCTGATAGGTGAGAATTTACTTGTACTTCACCATATATCTCGCATTTTACCAGAGCCCCATCTCTAAGCATCAGAGAAAATTAAAATGATTTAGTAGCTTCGGAAGAGAAACCTTGTAATTAGTACTATGACACAAGCTGCTCATCTAATGCATCAGAGTACTATAAAATAAAATGAATCACTGATATGTTGAAAATGAATTTATTTATCAAAATTAAAAAAATTAAACAATTACAGGTTGCCAGCAGCAGCTGTAATGAACCCGATGCTAACTATTGGTTAGAAAGATTGCTTCTAACTGATAAGGATTTGAATTCTTGAATCTACTGAACTTAGTGGAAATTATGAGGAGCTTTGTGAAAGAAATATGTGTACCTGTTTATAGTAGCATCCATTTCTTCAACAAGATCGACATAAACATCATTGCTGGTGTGCTTAAGGTCAGTCTTTCTCCATGGAACACATGATGATGTGCCACCTGGAAGTGTATTGCTCACATTGGATGAGTTACCAGTGACAACACTCAAAACCTTACTAACAATATTAGGAGGAGCTATCATTTCCCTTAATATATTAGGTTCCATTGTTAGAGGGAAGCCATTGTCTATCATCTCATCCAGCAACTGCATATTTAAAATAAGATTCTTCTAAAGTTAGAATTACACAATGGCTCAGAAGAATTCAACTGAAATATCATGATGATACACAGTTGAGGTATGAACACATGCTGATTCATTTCAGCACTGAAAATCAACTGTCAATTTTGTAGGCCAATGCTCCAATTGCCTAGTCATTGAATTATTTACATATAGAATTATGATATAATGTCGATAAGCAGTTGAGGTATTAAATTCCCTTTAGTAGATACAGTAAAAAAGATTCAAAACAATGCATCACAAAATGAGGGTTTAAGTTCACCAATATTAAATTAATGAAAATAATATTCCCTGTTATTGATTCTTAAAAGATTTATGAGAATGATACAAGAACAAGCCGAACAATTACTTCGGGAAAGAATAAAATAGTAGGTAAAAGGAAATTAACCATGTAATTAACCAAAGTCTAACATCAGACTTCACAACGAACAAAACATCATTGATACCTCATAAACGATAACAAAATTATCCTTAATCAGATCCTCATTCAGGCCATCCAAATAACCTGTAAGAACATCAGCTACCCTGCAAAGAAACTAGAAATCAAACCGTCAAGTGTTTAACAAGACTTTCTGCACAAAACCACATTTGTATATGAATAATCTAGTGCCACCTTGCAAATTATTGAAAGGCTAAGAAACAGCACCAAAGTTTTTCAAAATGACACAATGTTACCCTGCCAATCTATTTAATTTCAGAGAGACACAACAAGAATCAAAAAACAAAAATTCCAAGTCTCCAAAGAGACTTACATGATATCACATACAGAAATTACTTGAATTGTCATGAGAACCACAGCTTAGGGCACCCACCTCAATAGCCATTAAAGGTGGCATCTCAACTTGGGTGCAAGCCAAAAACGTTATTCCCTCACGGATCACTTGGAACAGATAGTGGGTGGGTGAAGCAATAACAGGTACGCTCTATGATAATGCAAGAGAAAGAAAAAGAGAAAAAAAAAAAGAAGGGCTCACTATTACAACGGTTGATAAGAAACATAAAAAAGACGGATTGCATGGAGCAGTGCTTTGCAACATGCAAAGTTTATTCCAAAAAGAAAAAAAGAAAAACCTCGTTACCTTCAAAGAATCTCCTTGAGTATGTACTTGGTCCCAAAACCATGCACATATGGAGCGATCGACCCGGTGACCCGTGAGCTGTTTTTCCAACATCACTTCCCTAAAATTTCACAATAAGGCATATAATTCACCTACTTCGGCATCCTTTCCGAAAATTTACTGATCATAATTATAATTTCTTCCTCGAACTTCCACAGGGAGAAGAGTGTTTGCAGAACAAACCAGAAAAAAAAAAAAAATATGTTTCTCCAATTCGAAGTTCTAGGTGGAATATGTACTCCATTTTCCATGTAAAAAGGTACCAAAGCATTTGTTCTTAGTTTCAGTAAACACTCCTCATATATCAACACCATTCTGAAGCATAAAATCCCAAGATTGTCTTTTTTCCATCAGGCAAACAGATATAGCAGCGAAACTATACAATTAGCAATCTCCTTCACAGCTGCAATTGATAATTTAAAAGCTATCTAAGATCTACTTTTCCATAGTGATTAACAATCGTTTTAAGGAACAACATCCACAGGACGAAGTAAACATGGGAGCTGAATTGCCTCTACATTAATCCGTTAGCAACAACTATTATTGTCCTTTCCCAGTTTCCACCTTATACGCAAGAACCCATAAATCAGAAGATTGCAAGATTGTGTATTAATACTTTTTCGCAACAACGAGAAAATAATACTGAAGAGAATATGAAAGATTTGAGATCGCACCCGGAATCTGATAGGAGAAATATGCACTGCAACATTTTTCAATTTCTCGAACTTCTTCAATTCTGAAGCTGTTTATTCTCCCGTCCAATAACTCGTACTAATCCACTCCTACTTTTTGTTATCAGTGATGGTCTCAGCCATACTTTTTTACGATCTCTCTGTAAATTGTTTAGTCAAATGCTTTAAAGACCCCTTGAAGAAACGTTTTCTCTCCCCCAAGTCCTTGTTTTAATTATCGAACAATTTTGTTTTGGTATCCAACCTTCACTCAATTTTCACCTTTGTCCTCCATATAATCAATTACAAATTTACAATTTGGTTTTGGTATCCAAACTCTACTCAATTTTCACTTTTGTACTTATTTCAGTTAATCAATTTTAATACCTCATTTACTCGATTTTCACTTTTATATATTTATGTGTAGAGAGAGAGAGTCGCGCTACAATGAAAATTGTGTTTAGTGAAAGAAATAAGAAAAATTTTAATAATCAGATCAAATCATATGATCTAACACCTAAAAATTACCAAAAATTTAAATACATTACGGGCAGTGTAATAATTTTTTTACCAAACCAACTCGTGGGCCCCACCCAAAACCAACTCACCCTACCCAATTCCCAACCCACCACTCACTCTCTCTCAAGCACAACACACACACACACTCACAATATCACCCATCCCCGTCGGACCATCCACATCGGCTCTGCCTTCTGATGTCGTCGGCCGCAGCTCTCCCCGATCGGTTTGTCAGGCGGTAGCCGCTTCAGCACCTCAGGTCCGTAAGATTCCCGTCGCAAAGGCCGATAACTCTGTCCGTCAATGATGTATCTGAACCGCCCATCACCCATGTCCATCGTCGCCGCCGTCATTGTTGCACCGAAGCCGTCAGAGAGCTCCTCATGTCCGGCATCGCGGTAGCGGTCGTCCCGGAGTTCAGAGCTCGCCGGGGAGCCCGACGCGAGCGATTGCACGGTGCTCCTGCACCTGGCGGCCGACAATGGCCACACCGGCGTTGTCGGAGAGCCCCTCATGTCCGGCGTCGCGGTTGCAGTCGAGGTCGAGCCGGAGATGGCCTTGCCAAAGGTGCCAGCAAATTGAGATTAGGGATTTAGTATTTCATTGATTTTTTTAAAATTGCATAATGTTTATGGACCAATTTGCAATTTCATAAATTTTGATTGTTTTTCAATTTAATTCATGGACAAATATATAGTTTATAAAAAAAAAAAAAAATTCACAAATTTATATTAATGATATATAAAATGCACAATACATTTGAAAAACTCAAATGTACATTGATATACTATTAAATCTGCTTTTACTTTTAAAATTTTAGTTATTTTTTTAAACAACCGAAATAACAGATCTGACCAAAATATATTATTATATAATTTATATGATTTTTATGCTACTCGTTTATATGTCAAAAGATCCGCAAGTAATAAGACATACCCAAAAAATCTCGATTCAGGTCGCCGCCGTCGGGCTAGACCCGGTGGTCATCAACACGTACCGATGGTCGAGTATGTAAGCAGTTGCGGTGCGGTTTAGATGAAGGACGGGAGACGGAGGTCTTGAGGGGTTTGGAATTTGGGGGGCTAGATTTTGTAAATTAGATAAGTCCCAAGGACTTATCTTCAAATTCAAAAAAATTAACTATATTGCGATTCAAGTCTTGGGTCAAATTTATAATTTATCAAAATTTTAAAAATGAACAACATTAATAAGTAAATTACACAGTATTGTGGGTATACACTCATATTAAACAAATATTTTCATATTTATGCACTTATTAAAAAAATAATGATAAGTGAATTGCATAATATTATGTGTACATATGCGCGTTAAAAGTAAAATCATATGATCAAACTGAAATATAAACATTTTGAACGGAGAATTTTAGTATTAATATTTTTTATTTTATTTTTATTAAAAAAATTGAAAACTTTGAAATCTCCGAAATAACATATACGTACCGTACGGACCCATTAGTCCTGGATTTCCGAACCGAATTGAAATTCGATTCTATTCGGAATAGAGATTTATTGGAACTGATTCAGATTGAGAGATCCAATTTGTAGGATTGCCGAAATTCGGTTCAGTTATAGAGATTTCCGGATATCCAAACCAAATCGACCCAGCCGTGACTTGTCTGAAGTGTGAGCTGTTTTATTTTATTTATTTTTTAACGAAAATAAATAGAGCCAAATCAAGTCAAGCAGACATAACCCGAGAAGAGAAAACAATCGAAAGAGAATTGAATTGAAGGGACAGCAAGAACAAGAGGAACTCCGAATATCGCAAAATGGATCTGCATCCAGTAAGTTCCCTTCTCCACCATTGTTGAGATCAAGTTTTTTTTTTTTTTCAAGATTTTGTCACTTATAGGATTATTATCTGATAATTGTTCCTTCATATGATGCAATTTAGTAAATCGTGTAGCATTCATCATCACGTTGAATCCTTTTGTAATATTGATGAATATTCAAGGGCCGGTCTAGTGGCAATATGGGTTTGGTTCAAATAGGTCTAGGTTTTGGACCTGATAATATGCTAGGCTGATTAGATATACGATGATTCTTAAATCTTATTGAGGATGTGACATAACTTTGATTTCTCGTCTTTGTTGTAATAAATCCAAAATCTGTTGATTGATCCTGCTCCACATGATATACTTGATAATGTTTGCGCTTTTATGAGGTGGAACATAATTTATGTAGTTGAGAGGTGTCTTTAGCACTATACTGACATCTTTTCAACCTCCCCATTGTGCTGTATAAATAGTTGAATACGGTTTGGTTCCTTTTCTCTGGTTTTCTTTTTTCACTGGATAATTAACCTCATGCCTGAGTCAGGTTAGGAAAGACGCAAATATCTGGATAGTGAGCTGTTATCATCGCGTTGTATTTTGGTTTTAACTGTCAAACATTATACTATGGCAGTAACTGAGCCAACTCCTATTGATCATGGCCCATTCTGTTTCCTAATCTCTGTTTGAAGTTGTTTGCAAATCCGTATTCCGTTTCAGTTCTTTGTCCATTGGTCATCTTATGTTCAGTTCATGTTATCTCCTTTTTTAATTTTATGGACTTCTAATATTTATGCGGACCATTTGAAATGTCTACTATGTTATATTGCATCAGATTGATTTAAGGCATGTGTTGTATTTAGCGGAGATGTCAGTTTTAGTTACGAGGTACTAAAGAAACAAGGAGTTATAACACACTCTAAACAGATCCTTCCAATGTTGGTTATGGTAAATTTTCTGATTAATAGGCATAATTCCAAATAACTAGAAATGAGTATCGTCTGCATTCCCAATTTCTCCTCCAGGCACACATGAGAAGGAAAAAAAGAAGAAAAAGTTCAATTATAAAACAAATTTCAGACTATTTCTTTATGTTTGCAGCCTTCGGGAGAGAATTATGCTCATCCTCAGATATGCTTCTTTCACGTGCTTTTTAAGGTAATTACATTTTACTTCTATCTGACCTTTTAATCATGTTTTTTTGTAGTTACCTTTATGTTTTTTAGTGTTTTAACATCATGAGTCATGAAAATATTTTCTTTCATCAGGGTGCTGCCTTGGCATTTTATATTCTTTCAGCTCTATTTGTGGATAGTTTTGTGATCATATTTGTGGTCACTGTACTTCTTGCTGCACTCGACTTTTGGGTTGTCAAGAATGTAAGTGGTCGTATCTTGGTGGGCCTTAGGTGGTGGAATGAGATTAATGATAATGGTGAAAGTGTGTGGAAATTCGAATGCCTTGACCAAGAGGTAAGGATATTCTTGTTTCATATGCTTGTCGATTGTCTGTCTAATTGATTTCTAATCATGTAACCCCATTTTTCCATGTTCAGTCAATGGCTCGAATGAACAAGAAGGATTCATGGCTTTTCTGGTGGACCTTATACCTTACAGTAAGAATTGTGGATTTAGCTACATTATAGGCTACATATATCTTATATTTAGTTAAAGTAGAAGAAATAGATGACCATGTGATCAATACATGAGAATAAGGTTATTGAAATGCGCATTATAAGAATGTCCAAGAAAAGAAAGAAGGAAATATCTAAAACAATTTTTAAGTTTGTGTTATTGAATATCTTATCACCTTCAAATATTAGCCTTTTCTCTCTGTCCTCTGCAGGCCGTTGCGTGGATCTTTTTTGCTATTTTCTCTTTGATTAGATTTCAAGCTGATTATCTTCTTGTTGTTGGTGTATGCTTGACCCTAAGCATCGCAAATATCATTGGCTTTACTCGATGTCGCAAAGGTAAATGGCTGACTGATCTCTTTTTCAAGTGTTAGATTTTCCTTCGATTGTTTGATAATATTTAAATTTAATAAAGGAATGTTAATGGTTGTAGGAGAACTTTAGAGCATTCCTTGCTTGCAGTTACAAATTTTCCGAATAATAGTTAGATTTAAGAGCTTTATACTTTTTTTACAGAACTGTTGAACATGCCTTTTCTGGATTATGGATAACTTGATAGCAAGTTTGCATATATTTATCATTAAAATTTTGGTAAGGCATAAGTAGATCAGTGGACCTCCAAATTTATACTGGCAGCAAAAGAATGCTTTAGTAAACGGTTATTTTATGACTGGTTAGTAAGTTTTGTGCATTATTCAAATTGGTTAACCATTTTTTGAATAGAGATACCTGGCACTGACAACCTTAAGTGTAATGAAGGTTCCTAAGAAGTGAAGTTACATTTTCCTCCCTGGATCAATCATATGTGTTGTTATCTACCTTATATATGTTGCTAATATATCAAATCTATGTACAAATGCTATATAAGTTTTCTCATTCATATTTTTCGATCAGCGATGCTGATATTATTTACTAATTTATTTATTTATTTTACTTGTATGAGCACTGGTTTGGAATTTTTGTCCATTGCAAATGGAGCTGGAAGAGTCATTGTCATTGTTGACAATTCTCCTGGCATAGTGCTAATAATGGACTAGATCAAAATGGCTCAATTAAATTCTAGTGCTTCTTCTATTAGTGAAGTTTCTAGAAAAAAAAAAAATATCAAACGACGCAATGCACCTTGGGTCGCTAACAGCCTCCTTGTATAATTACAAGGGTAAGGTCCCCCCAGACCCCAACCTGTTGGGGATATACTGGGTATGTTGTTGTGAGCACTGGTTTGGAATTATTATGCCTTTTGTGTTGATAAAACCATTCATTTTTCTTTTAATTCAACTTAGAAAGAATGAATCATAATCATTTGGGCATTGATATTGTTCCTTTTTCTTTCCCCCTTTGAGGAATAATCTTTGGTCTTTGTTACAGATGCTAAGAAGCAACTTCAAGCATTTGCCACACAAACAATTGCTTCTCGTGTATCGTCGACGATTCAGTCAGCTTTTAGTGTTGTTTAAACCTGATACACGATTAGACGCAAGGGAAAAGAGCACATAATATATA